GTAGACGCGCGTTCCCCTCGGAAAAGCCGCCGCGCCGCGGGTTTCGGTGGAACGCATCCGCGGGGCTAACCGCCGCCTCCCCCACCGCCGGTTTCTCCGTTTCCGGGATTTGAACGCGACGTTTCGCCCGCGCCGCCTGCTCCTCGCGCTGGACGCATCCGCGAGCTCCGAGTGCGCCGCCGCTGCCGCAAGCTTCCGGAGGATGGTGAACGCCGAGTGCTGCCCCTGCTGGTGACGGTTACGATCAGCGCGATGATTATACGATGATTGATTATTAGGATGATTAGGATCACGAGCACGATGGTGGCTAGAAGTGTTACGTTACCGTCGTCGTTCCAACGACACCGTGCGCCGTTTAGGGGACCGCTTCGCACGATCGTACGCAGGTAACGCTACCGTAAGTGCTAAGGCACTCGCTGCTCCGACGGCGAAACGGGCTGACGACTCCTCTGTCTACCGCCCGTCGGTATCTGGAAAGATATACTCGGTTAGCGTGCGTGGCGGGAATCGTCGGAGGATTCCGCTCGGGGACTTCGATGCTAGGAGACGCGACGCGTGTCGGGTCCGCGTCAGTGTCTCTGACGCTTTACGGACGAACGCCGCCGAGTGATTCGATGTCAGGGTAAGTAAGGGTGAGATCTGCTTAATGAAACTATTCTGAACGCGGTTAACGAATAGATTCTTGGGAGAGTAGTCGAATAGACTTTGCGAGATTCGGTGCGCTAAGAACAATTAACACCGTCGCGTTATCTGCGGTTTCCAAATGCAAATTCTCTCACCCGGAATTGCCCTGCTCGAACGACCTCGGTGTCGTTTAGCTTGACACGCGATTCGGAAGCCCCTCGTTCGCAGAGAGTTAATTGTACGGTAGAAATTCGGCGGAGCCCGCGTTGACGTTCGAAACGCGTAAACGTGTAGTACCCGGCTCGACTGGGCCACGGACAGAGACCGAGGTATCGGGCCGTGAATTTTCGAGACGTCGGGTACACGTTTACCGGTCGATTTTTCCGTGGACGTGTCCGCGTAACGCAAAGCGGACGAAACGAGAAAACGATGCCGGGTTGCGGTCAGCTGGGTCTCGCTTCGAAACTGGATACGCCTGGGACTTAAAATAAAGAAACGGCGATGCGGATGGAGGCTAAGGGAGAGAGACGCGATCGAGGCACCGATCGTCGCCGATCGATCCGATACCGGCCTGGCAGAGAGAGAGAGAGAGAGAGCGAGAAAAGAAATCGTTAACGCGCTCGACGCGGACCTCTCCTTTTGCTTTCCGTTTAGGCGGCGTGCGAATCGAACGATTGGTTTACACGTGGCCGCGGCGCAGACGTTGTTCGCCTCTCTCGCGACGATTCAATGACGTTCGAACGAATCCTTGAATGTCGCGCGATTCGTGAAACATCGTTCCTCGTCTGAACGGAAAGTTCGAGCAGCGTTCGATCGACGCGTTGAACGATCTTTAGGCATTCCCCGGGGACGTTGGTTGTTCGTCGATGATTTCTGCGGTTCTAATGATATCCTCGGGAGAGTCCAAGATTCTTTCGACTACAAATAAACGAATGGCACTGTTAATAACACGCTACACTCCGACGATGGAACAAGTTTGAAACTAAGGGAACAACTTTGAAACCGAGAAGCTTCCAACGATGGCGCGTTGTTCTCTGCTTCTGCGATCCTTCCCCGCGTTCAACCGGATCATAGAGGAAACTGTAATTCTGGAGTAACACCTGGAAAATAATGACAATGACAATCGGGACCGAGACAACTGGAGAATTTCAATGCGACGGAGAGTCAACGTGCTCGGAGACACGGCCGTTGCGTAGGAAAATATATTCAGCTACGTCACAGGAGAACAGTGAACCGTTACCACAGGGAAAACAGCCGGAGAAAACGGAGGGACGGAGGCGCGCATCGATGACCGATAGAAATAGGAGTCAGCGATGGAAACATCTGCGCGTGGGCCAGGGAAATAGCATCTGTCTCTAGGTCGCCGAAATTTCCAGCTGCGCCTCGCGCTTGGGAAGTCGGTTTCAACGCTGGAACTAACAAAGACGGGTCAGAGTCTACCCCGTGTCGGGCGCTTTATTTTACAATCGTCGAAACGCAGATAAAACTGACGAGTCTCGAAGAATAGAATCTCTCGGTTCTACCAAAAATAAATTGCCACTGTCGCTTCTGCTACGTTAACAGTTTCTCCAATATTCGAATCATGGATTATTCTAAAACACACAGTAGGACCCCCTACAAAGCCATGAAAAGCTCGTCAAGAAATAATGAGAAACCGATCCGGACCAATTTAGAGCGAGTTCCAAGGAAGCTTCGCGAACCCATGGAACCCTGTCAAATGGAGTATCTTTTATAGGGGATTCTACCGTATTACTACATGCGCGACGAGCGAAGGAGTGGACGGGCCGCGACGTCGTTAACGGTAAAACGAAGCGAATTCGGCAGGGCCGGTGCACGCGTTAACGGGGAATTACAATGTATTCACAGGCGGCGACGATACCTATCTCGGCCGGCAGGCTGGGAGGCGGCGGAGGCCGACGGTAGCGGGTTCTGAGAACATCTGTCGGGAGGACAGCGTGAAACTGACATCGAAATTGACACCGGCCTGCGAAACGTCGTCCGCGCTCTCCCGCGAGGGCGACGGAGGTATCAGTATCGTTTAAAGGGACTCAAAAACATGATACACGCGGACGGATTAGCTTACTTCGCGCCGCCGTCCACCAAAGAAAGACGTGGCGTCACGCAGAGACACACAACTGGTTTATCCTAGTTCTTCTTGGTCCGCGAAGGTTGTTGCACCTCGGGGAGCAGCAGCGCTCCGCTCCCGTTTACCTGGAAAGAAAAACAGGATGAAAAAGGCGACTATCGAGTTTCCGCGATTTCGTCGCGCGAAATGCCGGGCGGACGCGACGATGCTCGCGAGAGGACTGCGGATACTTCGTGGGGAATTTCTTCTAGCGTTTCTATTCTAGCTTTGTCGCGAATCGAATCTCGCGTGATCCGCAGGCTAAGTTACAGTATACTAAATTTTTTTAGCTTGATCGCTCAAAGATAATCAACACATCGCGTACCAGCTAATTTTCGGAAAACTGATTTGTGATGGCAATTTTCACTGAGATCAACTTATATCGCTATACATAGAAATGTATAAAATGTGTTAACAGTAGAACTACCAGGCAAGTCGAAACGATCCACTCTCGGATCCCATCGATTCTCCTCTGCGATTATTGAGAAGATAACAGACGTTTCTCCGAGAAATCGCTAGGAACGTTGCTTCATCAACGCGTAAACCGAACGGCGAATCGATTTCCCACAGACGGATCTCGAAGAGCCCACCCGACTCGGTGGTTCTACTGTTAACAGTACACACTCGGGATCCCATAGTTCTTTCCTCGCACAGTCCATTCGTCCGGCGTCCGCGGTTCGTCGGGGAAACCTGAACCGATCGACGAGTCAGAAGGTTCAATGAGGTGAGCTGCGCTCCGAAAAGTATTGCTAACTGTATTGATACTCACGATTCTCAGACTCCAGCCACGCAACTTCCAGTATCGGTACCTAAAACAGAGACGCCGTTGTAAATACCCAAACGGAGCACAAAGAGACAATTGTGCGGAACAAAGATCTTACCGAGTGGAACGATGATCACGGTTCACGGTATCGGTAAAAAGGGGCTCATTGAAAACAAGTGTCCAGACTGGCAGGACGGTTGAAAGTGCGTCGACCATCTTTCGCAGGGAACGATTTCCCTTTTATCCGTGGATCGAGAGGAGCCTGGCAAAGGAGCAGGCAACAGCGATGAAGTGACGACAGGAGAACAGACAGACAGACAGAGAGAGAGAGAGAGAGAGAGGGAGAGAGAGAAAGAGAGACAGACCGGGCGCATAGGTGGTCGCAATTTGCACCTAGAGCACAGAGAGCCACCGATATCTAGTATCCCGTCGTATTATTACGCTCGAGGGCGTTCGTAAGGGGGAACGGAGGTCCAGGGATGGCTGGCTGTCCGGTAGGCCGTCGCGCGGCGGGTAGGTGTAGGCTTACTTTGGACTCTGGTGTGGGATTACCGGTACTTATATTCAACTCTAATATTAAGTTACCATTTTGCTTTACGGCAAGTGAACAGGCTGCCTGCATATAGGAAGCCATCCGAGCGCTCCTGGGACAGTCTGGCTCGCCCGTCTGGGCCCACCTACGACACACAAAGCGTCCGGCCGCCGTCTTCCGTGCTTCCATCGCGCGTCCTCTCCGCCGCCGGGGACACGCAAACCCGAGGTATTCTCGTTCCGGCGTGGACCGGGTGGAAAGTGTTCGACGGCGGAGGAGATCGTCGCCGCGAGTGGTGTACAGGGTGTCCGAGTTAACTGTGGCGCGAGAACCGGGTGCGTTCTACGTTTCGAAGTGTCGGTGAAGGACAGCCGTGCGAGCTGAACGGTAGAAACGGTCTGTAAGCTCTCTCTTTCTCTCTTTCTCTCTTTCTCTCTTTCTCTCTTTCTCTCTTTCTCTCTCTCTCTCTCTCTCTCTCTCTCTCTCTCTCTCTCTCTCTCGCTTGCTCGCTCGCTAACCCCTTGTCGCGAGACTCGAAGATCTTTAGATTAACACATTGCGTACCGGTAACGAGAAATCTCGTTTTTATATAAAGACACGTAGCTATGCAACTTCGGTAATTACCGCAGCATTGAAGAAAATATAAAATTTCATTCCAATTGATTATCTATTTAAAATATATTACATAACAATATGATGTCTGAGGTTTTCTATGTATAGTGATATAAATTGACCTCAGTGAAAATTGCCATTACAATTCAGTTTTCCGAAAATTTGTCGGTACGCAATGTGTTCATTTAACCCTTTGCACTCTGGAGGCGCCTCTCAGTCGCCAAATGATTTGACACGGGGAAACTGTGAAGTTTGATATTTAATATTACACTTTGTATAATGTATTTAATATTGAACTTTGTATAATTCAATCTAAGAAAATGTCGTCTGTATCTCTTTAGAAAATATTGAATGTTTCCGGTGAAAAGCTTCCGGAGTGCAAAGGATTAACAGACGTTGCTCTCGTTCTCCGATCAAAGTAACAAGCTGTTCCGTTGTTATCGATGTATCCTCGTCGAATGAGATTCTCGCTTAAGGTAGAATGGAGAATTCGGTTGGTTCTCTTCGAAATCGTCGGTGGTAGAATGCTACGCGAGCTCGGTGGCGAAAGTGGATACGGCGAGGGGTTGACGTGGCTTCTGCCGTTAGTCTTTCCGAGCGGGCAAATTTGAACATCGAGCCAGCCGGATCTTTGAAAGACAAAGGAGCGTAGAAGTATCGGTAACGGTTCCGATATTCCAATCGACTCTCGCGTAAGTTCAACTCGATGTTCAAGCTAGAGGGGAATCGTTTTCCCCCCGGTTTCTCCTTGTTGTCGAGAGTGGTGTCTTTTTAACACGTCGAGTGCAGCGTCAGTCCCTAGGGACTGACAGTGAACTTTCCGTTCAAGCGGCGTCATTCCCTGGGGACTGACAGTAGACTTTTCGTTTGGGCAGCGTGGATTCTAGGAACTGACAGCGAACTTCTCGTTTGGTCGACATCGGTGTATGAGACCAGCATTTTAAAGGGTTAAATTATTAATAACAATTAAAAAATTTACGTTAAAATTTAACGTACTCCCGTAGCTTTTTCAGACTGATCGTTTCTTGGTGTTCGCACTTATGTTTATACATTGTATACATGGGCATTGCCTGCACCGTTGTCACAGTGCAAACGACAAAAGAAACAGTGAAAAAAGGAATCGTCTGTTGCGCTGTGTCGCGCGGTCTAGTTTAGCGTTCGGCATCAAATGCTCACGCGCTGCCGCCTGAGCGGAAAGTATAGCAAAATCGGCGCCTCACTCAACGTGTTAAAGAAGAAGACGAGTCGACAGCCGTGCGGCTTAAAGCTAATTTACAAAATGAAGCCTCACGGTCTAAGCATCCGACGCTAATGAACGGATAGAGGGAACGGAACCGAAAGAGGGAGAGATCTCCGTCGATTGAAGAGAATAAGAAGGCAGAGATACTGACTTCTGTGCGTGCTGGGGTATGCTTGCGACTTCCTAGCACCATTTGAAATCAGTATTACTCTTCTTAGCAATCCCCGGAGGGCTCGAGGGACCGAGGGCGGTGCTGAAGGCTGACAAGGAACACAAACTCGTGCGGCACACGAGACAACACGCGGATACATCCTCTCGTCGTCTCTCGGTATTAAAACTGTTGCCAGTCGCTTTATGTTTATCCTCTTCTTTTCCTCTTTAGTTACACAATGTTCGAGCGAGGCTCGTCCCCATGTTACAAAAGCGTTTACGCGACGATACACACGGTGTCCGCGGTTACACCACGATTCTATCGCGCTCTCTCTTTCCCGTTTCGTGTAATTACAATCGTACGCACGGTACATGCTACGTATACGCGCACGCGCGCGCGCGCGTGTATGTGTGTGTTGAGTGCACAGGATGTTACGGATAAAGTGTTACGAGGAGCAAATGGTTCTTTAGAATTTTCATCGGAGAGAATAAGTCGACGAGTGTTATCGGTTAAACAGCTCGTAACAGTTTATTCGGAGCATCCTGCGCACCGTCCATGCTCAGGTGAAAAGTCACTAATCAGATTTTTGTCTAGAAATCTCATTTGCACGGTCCAGATGGGTTACAGTCGCGAGAAAGGATCCGTGAAATGGTTGTCTCCTTTCCCTACGAAACGGTAGAAAAATATTAGCGAATGCTTCGAGCTGAACATGGACAACGTACATAGTTTCTATCTACAGCTATTTATCTGTATGCACACGCGCCGTTTGAAAGTTTAGCTTCACCCTCCGCCTGGTAGTTTCTCGATTGACTCGAGTTTTGAAATTCGCTATGGCTGATCCCACTGGAAAAAGAGCTCGTTCCTTGCTTGTCACTCGACGACGGAAGATTCTTGCTGTCGAGTCTTTTAACCGGTTAGCTGTGTGTCGCCTTCCGGAAGCGTGCACCTGAATTCTGTACCGTGTGTACCAATTTTATTCGCGCCACTTCGTTCCCGTCTCGGAATATCCGAGAATTCACGAGAGTATATTCGAGTGAAATGTTCGGTTCAATAACGGAGCAACTATCTTTTACACCGACGAGTATACTCGTCGCACACAGCCAACCGTTTGACAACCGAAGGACGACGGCCCAAGCTATCGAACGGCGGTGTACGTATAAACGTCAACATTTATGCGAATATAATTATTAAATGTACACCGTCCGGCCGTTTATACTCCTCCCGCGTCCGCGCGCCGGTATCACAACAGACCACGGCCGTGTTCTCATACCGGTTCTCGCTCGCGGTTCGCGATCGAGGCCGCCGATCGACGGATAGGATAAGCGGCGCGAGTGTAAACGGATCCGCTGCTACAACTATTTAGCGAGGCAGTATGGAACAACATCGTAATAAATAAGTTCGGGTTGCGAGATTCGCCGCGACGATGGCATAATAAAAGAATACGTCCCTGTGTGTCTATATGTACAATGTATGCGTGCCGGCGATGATACCGTGTGGCGCGAGTAATCTGAGACGTATATGTACAGGATGTTTCCTAAATTCTGCTGCGAAGGGCGCGGTCGACCCTCCGCGCGATGACAGCTCGGATACAACGCTATGAAATTTCTTTCGTACAAAAAGTCCGGCCCAGGGAAAGTCGACTTCCCGTACTTTCCCGTTGCGCGCGTCCTCGCGGCCACCGTGGAAAAGGCGAGCCGTGAGAACGCGGCCTTACGTCGGTGAATTTCCCCGCGGATTCTACTCGCTCGTTCGTGGACGACGAGCGTGCGCGAACGGGGAAACAGGTTAAAATAAATAAGAGATATCGGATGAAATCTGTCCCCGAGGAAATCGAATCTGTGCTCTCGCGTCCACGTTGATCGGCGATTATTTCCCGGTACTGTTTACTAGTTACTGAAACCACCTCCGTCTCGTTTGCGGCAGGCGTGACGACGCGGTCTCGTCTCGTTTCCGGGCCGAGGAGCGGGGCTCGAGTTCGATCGCGTTTGAGAAAAGTCAGTGTACACTCGGCGCCTCGGGCTCGGCTACCGATAGCCGGGGAACCGTCGCGCTCCTTCCATTCCGGGAGGACGTCGACGCACAGGGGAATCCCATTGAAGAACTCTGCCAACTGTCCGGCAGTTAGGTGGAGTCCTTGCGTCGACTGCTCGCCTGCAGCCTCGTCCAGGTTTCGCCCAGCGCTTTCGCGAAGTGATCGTCCACTGGAAATGAAAACAGTCAGTCGAGGACTCTCTTCGTTTCGTTCGTTCATCGAAGAATACTTTATTCCTTCCAGATGGGAAACGGAAGATTAAACTCTGTCCCGAGGGCGACCAAGTTAACCCTTAATTGTGACCAGTACGGACCTTTCACTGTTACCGTTGATTACTCGTTATCGCGAGTTTCAGGGAGATCTAAAAAAATTCTGGGCTACCGATTAGTCTCTACTTTGATGTACTATTGTTACTTGAGCTAGTTCGCAGAACCTTATTCCTGCCGAAGGTGTCGGATGTTCTGAAATCTCATCTTATTCTTCCAGTTTAGTCGCAGATTCTGAACTGACTTTTCCAATAACGATTATCAGATTAACTACAGGAAACGTGCGACATTAAATGGAGGGAAAGTGGTTGAACCGAATAGAACAATTACAAGTTAAAATTTCAGAAAGTGTCTCTCGACAGCTTCGGTGGGAATAGCGTTAACGTTCGCGGTGAGAAGCGAGGTTGCACGCGAGCCTTTGGTCCGTATCGGCAGCGGAGGGTTAACTAAGAGGCTCCCTCCGGAAATTCAGCTAACGGCGTACCGCTGAGGCCAGCTTCCTTGTCGGTGGTGGTGGCATTGAAGACTGCAGCGTACTCCTCCAACCCCAACGATCGTTTAAAGTGTTCGTCTATTGCAGGATCGCTCACTCCCCCCACGGTTCGCACCCCCGTCCTCTGGCCTCCCGTCGCTGCAGAGGGTGTGAGGGACGGAGTAGGTGTACCCGCGGTGTCTTCGATCGTGGTTCCTGTACAAAAAGTCCCCCGATTAGCTGGCCGTGCTACGAACATCGTGAACCGTCGAACAAAATCGTGTTCCTTTACCACTCGACAACCTCCGCGTCAACCGAACATGGATCACACCATTCTCTATGTATACTTAAACGTTCGTTTCCTCGGTAAGCCGACAAACGAGCCGAATCTCGTTACGTTTACGAAATACAACGAATATACTAGAACAATCACGGAGAATCCTCCCTTCTCGCTTCTGCTTCAACCCTTTGAACTCTGTAGACTGCGATACTGCGCTAGTTACAATATGAAACATTCCAATGAATCCTAAAGAAACTACCCTAACATTCTCAGGTTCCCCATCCAAATGTTGTACCGAGAAGGAAAATGAAAGATCTGAGAAACGTATTCTTCATTCTCGCTAGGGATACTATAAAAATTCGCTGGTAAATTACAAAACCAACGGTTAACTGCATAGAAGTTCTGATCAGTTTACTCAGCAGTCTAGCGCAAACAAACCAGTGGAATAACCGTTGACCAACTATCGCCAAAGACAAACACACACAGACAGACACACGCACACACGAGAATGTTTCCTTGAAAACCGTTTGAATGCTAATTCGACAAAGAGGCAGCACGGTTGCTGCCCGACGAACGTCGAAGGCCTCGAGAGAGCAGCCCTCCTCCGGACGGACGAATAAAGCGGAGCTGATGTTTCAAAGAGCCCAGCCTCCGGAATTCTAGGAAAACGGGAGATCCCGGTGAACACAGCGAGGCCGGTGGGCAGTACGCAGGGTTAGTCGCGCATCTGCCGGCCGTGCATCGTGGCGCATTGTTCAAGGAGCCCAGCCACCCCTTACGGTGGACAATGGCGATGGCTGGGAGCCCCCTACGACCAAGAACAACGCGGCAACCTGCCTAACGAATTCGCGGCGGGGACTGGGGTCTCTCGCTCGCAGCCGTCTGCCTCTCCTCTCCTCTTCATGAACGTAAACGCACGCACGCACGTACGCTTACCAGGCTGCGGCGTGGTGGGCACGATCACGCTAGGCCTGGTGTGGCGGTGATGATGATGATGCACCCTGGCTGCTGACATGTCGAGGGCCTCGCTCTGGATGGGATCTCTCCTGCGCTCCTTGCGCCACGCGCTGCTCGGCTTCCGGTGGAGATTCGTCGCCTTTGGTCTTTCCTCTGGAAAAACGTTTAATATGTATCATTCACCCTTTGAACTCTGTAGGCTCGAATATCGCGCCAGTTGTAATATTAACCCTTCGCGGACGAATGTCGACATTTCGACAAGATGAAATTTTCATATTTGGAAGTCTAAGTCGTAAACAAATGATTTAACACGTTAAGCGCCATGTCAGTCACTGGTGACTGACGCTTCCGAATGACTAAAAAACAATCGTAACATACAAAACAACCGAAGTGAAATAAAAATGTTTAATAAGGCAACTAAGTTGATAATAGTGTAACGTAAACGTTGCAACGCCCAACAATTCATAATTATTCCTAATTTTCTTTGCTACAAAAGACAAACTCTATGGGAAAACGCTTAAGATTTTCGTGGCGTTTAACGTGTTAATTAATGGAATCGCAAGAGATTAACACGCAGTTTCCTATTTTTCTATTGTTCAAGTAATTGTTGTATAATTTAACTTCATCTGTTGAGGGTTTTGTACATTTCAAAGAATCTTCATCCGCAAAGGGTTAACCCTTTAGTTTCCTTTTTTCCTGTTAATCGAGTAACTGATATTCGTCGAAAACTTTGTATATTTCGAAGTATCTTTGATGCTGCTCTTAAGAAAATCAAATTCAACTGAACGCCGAACGATGTAACCGAGCAGGGAATATGTTCAATAAAAGATCGACGAAGTTTCAGTCCCATATCTCCAACTTGAGCGCATTCCATGCACAGTACATAGTGTCTCCCAATTCATTTCCAAGCGAACTCCCAACGGAAAGCTGAGAGAACGAAGAACAATAGTCCAGCTTTCGCGCGATCAGAGCTAATCCTTCGCGGACAAAGATTATTTAAAATATACGAAACTTAAGGCAGATCCTGCCGAATCACGCGTCGAATGCTTAAATAATAGAGAAACAGGAAAAAACAATTTACTGATCTTTTGCTGTTTTAGCAATTAAATCATTTGTCTGAAACTTAGTATCGCAAATATGAGAGTTAATCCTATCCTGAATCGCTCGGCAATCGTGGATTCGAGCTCCTCGCCTTAATTTTGAATAGTACATTTCAAATACAATCGAACGAGCATCGATATTACTCGATCCCTGTGAATTCAAATGAAACGCTACTCTTCTCTCGTCGATAATTCTATCACAGCGCGAACAGACATAGAGAATACGCACAGAATTCTTCTTCTCTTCTTTCAATAAATGATTACCGATGATGAAACATCGATCATAGAGCAAGAGGTTGAACAGAATCGAGTATAAGGAACGGTGCGAGCGTGTTCGATTCGAAGCAGGGGCTTCGAAGTAGCCGCTGTTAATCGTTAATCGATCGGCCAGCGAATTTGCGAAAGGACCTGCGGCTCGTCCACACGTTTCCGGTCGAGGGTTGATCGCTCGTTTCCGTTTCCCGCGTCGAGGACCGATCCCGGCAGCCCCCGGTCGATCAGGAAGAGGAAGGGGTTGCACGGGCGAGTCCGGTTTCGCAGGACGGGACAGGAAGTGCGTAATAGCCGTGAGAGGATCGTTAGGAAGACGGCGCGAAACTGGTTTAAAGATGAATAGACCTGCCCCCTTCTACCTTTCCCGATCGACGGGGATTCGTGGATCCGCTCGATCCACCGGGTACAATCTCGAAAGTTAACTACCGGAGACTAATTAACGGTAGAGCTACAGAGTGGTTCAAAACGACCGATCCATTCGTTCGCTTCAACCTTTCAGCTGGTACACGCCGCTATGGCTCTCGCGTGTCTTTTTGAACGGTACAATTCTCTGTCGATATCTATGCAGATTACTATCTAATCTAACTACGCAGTGGAAAATCCTATCAGTCTGAAATCGCGGTGCACGATACGCGTGAAACCTCGCCGTAAAGGTTGAAAGATCGAAGAAGCTAATTCAGCGACACCCTAATTGAGACGTAGATTGATCAGAGTCTCGACGAATAACGCGATGTCCGTCGCTTTGGGAAGTCGGTTCAACGCGGGTTCACGGACGCTTGTTCATCGCTCTATCGTCCCTGGAAAAATCGTTTTAGATCTTGGAGAACGAGTCTAGCGAACGCTTACCAACGAACCTAGCGTTAGGCTAGAATCACGGCTAGGATCGAGAGAAAAATACAAACTCCCGACTAAGATCCTCCTCGGAAGGACCTACGTCCACGTACCGTGCGTTCGGTAGACCGGTCGAAGGTTCCCGATGCTGAGCCACGGCTGCCAGAAGCAGCTTCTGGAGGAGACCTCCATGACTGTCCCGTTCCCGGCGTTCACAAGTCGCAGAGCTGAGAGCACACGCGCGCGGGCAGGACGGAAACGATTGTGGAACAACGATAAACCGGGGGGATCATCGGAACCGCTTCGACGACCCGGGGATCTTCCGTTCGCCGAAGAACGCGGCCTCCGTCATCGTGGCGGCGAGCCCGGCGACTGTGACGCAAAATCCGGCGGGACGACGAACATACTAGAAGGACACGTTCGCTACCGTTCCCAGTTGCAACGCGAAAGCCGAATGCAACTGGAAAAAGGTCATCGAGCTCCTAAGCGCGGACACACCACAGTTTCAACAATGTCTATCGTATTTCGTTCGCTTTGCACGAAACACAGGGCTCTACGGTGCTCTCGCGGATATGCTGGTAGCGAACGTGTTAACGAAACCGCGCACACACACGTACACGTACACACACGTGAACCGGAGGACAGTGTTCGCTATTCGGTGGAGAGACACGTTGCTGAAAAGAGGCCGCGCGGATTTGTGAATGCCCCTCTTACGCGACTGTCTTCAGATTCATTCATTCATCCGGCTCGTCTCGTCGTCTTGCCCCCTCCACAGGCCGAGAAAGAGAAGGTTGCTCCTTTTACACGCGCGCCGCTTACAGCGTGTTCCAGCGTGCGCGTCGCGGGCCGGCTCGAGGCTCGTCAACCCCTCGCTCTAAGATTCCTTTAGAAGCACGGCTACCCGTGTCGTTGAGAATTCATTAACACGTTAAGCACCACGAAAATCTTAAGCGTTTTGCCGTAGAGTTTGTCTTTTGTAGCAAAGAAAAGTAGGAATACTTATGAATTGTTTGGCGTTGCAACGTTTGCATTACACTATTATCAACTTAGTTGCCTTATTAAACATTTTTATTTCACGTCGGTTGTCTTGTATGTTACGATTGCTTTTTAGTCATTCGGAAGCGTCAGTCACCAGTGACTGACATGGCGCTTAACGTGTTAACCCTTCGCGGACGAACATTCTTTGGAACATAAAAAACCGTCGGCGGATGAAGCTGAATTATAGCTCGATCGCTTAGATAATTCGAAAAGGGAAACTACACGCTGATCTGCTGTTTTAGTAATTAAATCATTTGTTTGCGACTCGGTGTCGCAAATGTGAACATCTCGCCAAAGTGTCGACGTTCGTCCGCAAAGGGTTAAAAAGCTAACAATGATAATGTCGCTTGTACAGTCGCCTGGTTCTCAAGCTGGATAACTTCAACCCTTTGCACTCGGAAGATTTTCACTAGAAATATTTGAACATCTTCCGATGAAATAAAAATATTTTCTGAAACTAACTCGCGAAATCATACGTTCATCGAGGAGCAAAGCTAACTTATTTCAATATTTCTGAAATCAATGCGATATATAAGGTGTAATATTAAATGTCAAATTTTATAGTTTCACGGTGTGAAATAAGTGGTGAGTCACCTCTCGAGTGTGAAGGGTTTAAATATTCGGTCGAGCATTCCGTGTCCACGAGGTTTCGAGCGACGGTTACTTCGTTTAGAGGATCAGGCGAAAATTGATCGGGAACCCCATCGGAAAAATCGAGGCTAACAAAGCTGACAACGCTAACATCGGACACCCACGGTTCCCGGAGGCCGCATTGTCCGGCCGACGAGCCTTCGCCAGCGTCTGCCTTCCTCGCGAGCGCAAGATCAAGGTGGCGCGTTATCCTGCGGCCGGATCGTGAGCCATCAGTGAGGAATCCATGGTATTTTAATAGGGCCGCGCGTCCGGGTAATCGCGGCCAGTTATCGAGCGTTCGTTCAACAGTGCATCTCGCTCGTGGGCGTGAAACCACCGACTTTCAGCGAGTCATGCTGCAAGCTGCAAGCTGCGCGAGTCATTCTCTTTCGGGTCCTTTGCCCAACAGTGGACTGTACGCTCTTCCGTAAAGAAACGAGTCTAAAATGTGAAACAAACGGTCGAACTGCTGACACTATTAGAATCTGTAGGTTCATCGGAACATCTCGAGTAGCAACCGAGAAAAAGAATCGAAGTTTTCGACTGTCGTCACCCTTAAAGAGGGGAGAGCTGGAATTTTACATGTTTCAGACAAGGGACAAGGCGTAGCGAACAGCGATGATCATTTCTACGGAGAATCGACGCTCTTGTACCGCCCTTTTTTCCGTTTCCGACTTGTTTCTCGAAGAGTCTGAACATCTTACAGGCGTGGCCAGTTTTTGACTGTAGCACGGAAGAAGGCGAGGGAGGTCGTGTACTCGGTACGCTCTAGAAAGCCGGCGTTTACCGAGCATCGATCAGGTTACCATCGACGGACCATCCCCGAAGTATCGGCGGGAAGACAGGAAACGAACAAAGAAGCGTCGACCGCAGCAGCTGCGGCGGCGAATCT